AGCAGAGACCTCAACTCTGCGTTACAGAAAGTAAATAAAGAGAAGCACCAGTCTGCAGCTCCTCCCAGGGCTGTGGGATGAGCCAAGGCGAGTTGTGTTCCCAGCTTAGTCGGTCTGGGAAGGCAAATTGGGGTGACACAGAAATGCTGGTGGGGGCGGCTCGGGGTGCTCGGGATGCTCCGGGGGGTGCTCAGCGCAGCCGCGCCGGTGTCTCTTCCCTGCCGCTCTTAAATGCAATTAATATAGCGGAATAACCTGGGTTCTTCCTAAGGATTAGGTTAAGGAAACAAGACTGTTTTAATAGCTATTTTACACCCTACATAGATTTTAGCTGAAAAACCCAACTGGGTTGGCTGCACTGAATAACCGCACATCTTTTCTTTTTCTTTTTCTTTTTTTCCCCCGTTTTTCCCCCATAACCTGATGCCAGCAGTCCTGCACAACTGGGCTCCTACCGATAATTCAAGTGCCCAGCTCCTGGCTGTGCTGTTTTGTCCGATTTCCATTGCCTCCTGACCCCCATCCTTCTTTATTTGCAAAGCTATACTCGCAGGCAGCGGTAATAAATCAATTAATGACTCTGATGAATCGTTTAATGGCTGACAAAATAACACTACAGTCAACAGCTTGGATCTCTACAGCAGTACCAGAAGATGCTGGTTGACTCAGGGTAGGGAGACGAAACAGAGACTGTTAGCTCAATTAGTGCAATTAGTGTGCGATTTAAAGGCTTAGACGGCATCTGCTGGCGTACCGAGCCGGTGTGTTAACTGAGAGCTTCAGTTTGGAAGCGAAACGTGGAGATCCAGATTGCCGTCGCTCCGCTGGCTTGCACCAAAAAAGGGGAAAAAATCCAACGTAGATGTGGAAAAAATAATTTAAAAAAATGTATATGTGTGCATATAGGTATATATGTGTGCCCCAGGAACTGCATTTTGTTTCCAGCCTGGAGCAAATCTGCCATCTAATAAAAGGCAAACAATCCAGTGTGTTGGCTGTGCTGGAGCTGTCCTTGCTTATCTCCGGCAGCGGTCCCCAGTGTGCTTTGATGGAAGGAAATTTGGGATGTCACATGCCAACAAGGACCTCCATGTGGCTGGATATGCTTTTGGTTTAGTGCCAGCAGGGACATCGTGGTGGCACACTGGACTTCATGCTCCTACACCATGCTGGTGCTGCCCATCTCCTGCCCGACCCTTCGGCATCTCTGCCTTGCCCATACCTGCACTGGTGGGGTTTGGAGGGGCTTAGATATTCACCTGGTGAAAAGGGCTTGGCAGGCAAACTCCAGCTGAAATCTCCAGAGTCCCTAAAAATAGGGTTTTTAACCAAAATGCTGAAAATAAGCCAGGCGGGGGAAGCTGGGAGGTCCAAAAAGTCCTTTTATTAAATTTGTGCTGGAAAGTCCTTGAGTTTTGAGTGCTCACCCTCAAGGTTTGGGTGCTGACCCTTGGGAGTTGGATGCTGACCCTTGGGAGTTGGATGCTCCCCCTTAGGGTTTGGGAAGTTTGTCCCCACTGTCTTTTTTTCCCCTTTTTCTTCCTTTTCTGGCACATCCCCAAGGTTTTGCAGAGCTGCTCCAGCTGTGGCTGCGCTCCCATCGCTTCTGCGGGGCTAAAGGTGCCTCTGTGTTTACCTTAGCGGCGGTGATGGGGAGGGGAATAAAAAAGAAATAAAATGTCACTTCGCAGCCTTGTAAATCATTCATCAAGGGCTGACCAATTTGGCTTCCGTCCTACAATATGCTCAGGGCACTTGTGGGTTTTTAATTACCGAATTCTGCCAAACGCCACATGTGTGAGGAACTTTAAATCCCCGTTTATGCTGCGAAGGCATAGGTGAAGTTTCGGGGTGTTTAACGTGGAAAAATACTCTGTGGTTTTGTGGAAAAATGGGCATTTGCTTCAAGATTTTCTTTGGCTGCTTTGCCCTCCTCCCTCTGCTCCCTGTTGTGGAGGGAAGGAGGAGGGCAGCGTACTTTCCCCTTGGATCCCCAAACACATGTCCACCCTCGCTCCACACCGCTTCGGGATCCGTTTTGCTTTGGGAAATTCCCCCAGCAAAGGATTATGGTGTGCTGGAAATCTCTTGAAACCATAAAATATCACCTTGGCAGCTTTATTGCAGCGCTCGCCGCCTTGGGAGAGAAGCGTTTTGCGTGATAGAGGGTTTAATAAAGGAAATTCCAAATGGGCTCGCTGCAGTTTGGGGCTCGGTCTTATATATTTTTGCATTAAGAACCGTCATCTGCTTTGCAGAGAAACTGCAATATGTTCATGGCCTTGGATTAAGATTTGGTTTTACTTTTATAGCTGACCCACTTGGGGGGATGGAGGGAGGGGGAGAACTGGGTTCACTCCCTCTCCCGTCTATTTTTGCTGCCGTCTGATGTATAAAAAGAGCCTGGAACGGGCAGGCTTATTTTTCCTGCCAGGACTTTTTTTTTATTAACTGTCAAAACGCTCAGATCTGGCCTTTGCTGTTGGTGTGGGGGTAGCTGCTCAGGATGCCTTGTTCAGGGGGGAGCGTGGGGTGGGCTGTGCCTGGGGGCTCAGGACCCTGTAGCTGCAGGGGGATCATAGCTGTTTCGCAAAGCAGGGCTCTTTTTGGGAGGAATCAACCTGTGCTGTTGTCTCCGGCGCTTGAAGTTCTGAGATGCTGGGGTGGGAAAAGCAACAGCTCCTCTGGCGTGGTCCTGGACTTCATCCTGTATCCTGCACGCCAGCTCCTGCCAGAGAGCGTGATGGAGAGGGCCACGAGGGATGACCCTGAGAAAGGTCTGGAATAGCGAGATGCCCAACCAAATGTAGGGGTCCCACCTCGACAAGCCTTAGTCCTTAATAATAATCCTTAATTTTCTGGGCTGCTCACCTCCTGACACCCCAGCTTTCCCCCTCTGCTCACATCTTGCAGTTTTCACCACACTGGATGCTGTTGGGGACCGGGGCTGGCTGTGTGGCTGTTGAGACAGGGGGTTTGGTAGCGTTGAGGTGCTCCAAGATTTGGGGTAAAACCAAGCCTGAGTAGGTTCATGTGTAGCCCATCTGTTTATGGGATTTCCTTGATGGGAAATTTTTCCACCATTTTTTCTTCGTGGTGGATGATTTTCCTTGTCCCTGCCACGTGGGTAAATACATCGCAAAAATTTGTGGAGGGAGTAGTTCATTGATCCAAACCCATTTAATATCACTGAGGCTCCCTTGTAGCTGCCCTGGGCAGGGAGGTTCATTTGGTGATGGGTAAATGAGAGCACACTTCAAGGGGCACCGGTATCCCTCCCAACCCAGCTTTTTTTTTTGTCTCAGCAGGAGTCTTTGGGGAAAGATCTTTTTCTCACCATTTTCCTTCTGGGTAGGAGCCTCCCATCATGCCGGTGCTTTCCCAACGAGGTTTGGTGCATGCCACCCTTCCCTCTGCACTTCCCAGAGCTGCTCCTTGCACCAGAAAAACCTCTTTTGTCCATCAATGTATATCACAGAGAGGAAGTAAATACAAATAGAGATGCTGAGCAGGAGCGAGTGGGGTGTCCAGATACCCCATGTCCACCTCCATCCCTCCTTTTCGGGGCTGGAGCCACTCAGGTGGCTCGTCCTGGGGAGACACAAGGGGGAATGAGTGCAGTGAATTTGGAAATTAATAATAAAAGCTTGGCATGCTGGTGAGGCTGAGGAGGCACTTTTTTGGAGGATGGAACTGAAGCGGCAAGCATGCAGGGGGGAGGTGGGTAAGAGAAGCATATAAAAAGCCTTAAAACAGCTTCTGCCTGAAGTGACGTGTTGGATGAGGCTCTTCAGTGGATTAACGAGACTAAATGCTTGGGTAAATTAATAAATAAGACCCAGAATTATCCTTGTTTTTTGCATGGCCATCTTCTCCATGGGTGAATTGCAGAGGCCGATGCCCCTTTGGGCAGCATCTTTGGCTGCCCAAAGATGCTCAGGGCACCGGGAGCAATGGTCAGGGCTCTGAAGGTGACAGGCTAATTGGCTCAGTGTGGTGTAGCTGGAGAGATGGGGTTTTTTTAATGTCTTTTTTTCTTAACTTTGACTCAAACCCACCATGTTTGTCCTGGTTTTGTTCCCCACAGAGCGCAGCTGCCGCCCCAAGTCCCGTGCTTGGAAACATTCCCCCGAACGACGGGATGCCCGGGGGCCCCATCCCGCCCGGTTTCTTCCAGGTAGGCTGCCGCTCCTCCCGGTGCTCACCTCCACCCCGCGCACGCGTTCGCTTTCGCTCTGGGTGTCAGCGCTGTCGTGCCTGTGGTTTTTTTTCTCAAGGGGATGCTAGGGAAGCACATAGCTGACCTGTGTAGGAATAACTCCTGTTCTACTGTCCTTCCACGTTTGCTTTCTATTTTTTGTGGCCTTAAAGTGAATTTCTTTTTTCCTCGAAGAGGTTACTGTGTATTTACAACCGATGTTTTTTTCCAAAGCTGCTTGGTTTGTGTTTGGGTTGAGATTGTATTTGTACTCCGGTTCTAACAGACGTGCATAATTGAAAACACTCTGGATTTTGATTCCTGAAACTTTCCCGCCCCCCGCTCTGGTTAACCGCTTGATTTTTTCCAAATGCAATCACTGAAAGCATTAACAAACGCTGGCTGCGGCTGCAGGCACCAGCCGGCTCCAGCCAAGTCCCCAAATGCCGGGGAGGCACCTTGTAGGCAAATACCCAGCAAAGTCCCCACAGTCCCCTCATTCCTTCCTTCTCCCGCGCCGAGCTCTGACCGAGGAGGGGGTAATGTATGTTTGGAGCAATGCTGGTGGAAAGGATCTCGACAAGGACACAGAAAAGGAGTTTTCACAACTTGAACTGTGGGGTTTTTTTGGGTGGCTTTGGAATCTCTTTGCATGGCATGAGCCACACCGGTCTGCAGCAGCATAAGCTCTCAGTATGCTGAAATCTTCCTTCTTGAGGAAGAAACACTTGTTCATGTAACAAATGGGATAAGAGTTGAAAGGAATATTTGTTTTGGCAAGCTGTTTTTTTCTTTTTTTTTTAATCTGGGCTTGTGATTTGTATATGGGAGAACTTCTTGGGCAGCAGACAGGCAGACTCGATAAGGCGCTTGTGATTTATTGTGGCGATATCTGTGCCTGATACCGCCCTTTGTGTGTGTATGGGAAGGGGGAAGGAGGGTCCTGTCTTTTTTTTTTTTTTTTTTTAGAGAGATCCCATTTCCTGAACATGCTTTTGACAAAGTGAAAATATCCGATATTGATCGGGAACCCTAAAACAGGCAAATCTTGTAGCAGCGCTCGGCAGCACGGGGTGAAGCCAAGAGCAGAGATACTATCTCACAGGTCATAGCTGCTGCCAGCAATTCGAGTGCCAAGCTGCTGCTTCCAACAAATGTGTTTCCAAAAGTCCTGATCTCGCCCCGTGGCAAAGCTGACTGTCCTTTGGGGCTCCTGCTTCACACAGAGCTGCGAGGGCTGCAAAACTGGCACAAAGTCACGGCAAGGCTTCAAAAGCATGGGTTGGCTTTCCCTGAGAGGGGAAGGTGAGGAAGAAGAGTCACATCTCCCCAGACATGCTGTACATGCTCCCATCTCAACTCTTCCTGTTGACAGCCTCCAAGCTGTCCCCCTGCTTTCCTTTCTGCTCTCCTGGAGCATTTTTGCACTGAGGGTGCAATTCAGGAGCAAACAACCCATCCTAATTCCTTATTGCTCGTGCAGCTGGACCAGGAGCTACTGGGGAAGGGAGGCTCAAAAGCCACCCTGCTTTCTTAGGACCTTTGGTGGGGTAGTCCTGAAAAACCCATCAGAAGTAATGGCGCCAGTGCAGGTGTCGTGTGCGGGGATGCTGCCCATTCCCAGAGCTGCCGGAGGGAAGAGAGGACGGGTGCCGATGCATATGGCTCGCATGTGACATCTGAAAAGTCTGCCTTTCCTGAAAGCCATCCAACATCTGGTTTCTCCTCCCAGCCCTGGGGATAGAGGGGAGGAGGGGAGAAGAAAAATCCCACCTTTTAACACAGTCTGAACATCCCCCCTGTGAAAGCCTGTCTGATTTATTGCGGGTGCTGGAGCTCATTCCAGCTTCAGGAGATGCTGGAGACCAGCTCTTGTAGAGCTGGGCTGGAGGCTCGGCAGTGAGCGGATCACAGCTCAAGGGTCATTTCCTATCTCTGTAGGAAATTAAAGTGCTAAACTTAAGAGGACAAAACCAAAAAGGTCACAGGAGATGCAGAGGACTTCTCTCTGGTGTGCCAGCTTTGCGAGTGAGTGAGGTTCCTGGTGGTACCACCTCGGCTGGTGCCCTCCTCATGCCAGGAGAACGAAGGATGGAGAGGGCTTGGGGGGTTCAGCATCTCACCCTTCCGTGCCATACTGCAGGCACCAGGGACCTGCAAGGGGTATCCCTGAGGGCAGCAGGCACGGGCAGACTGTTTTTGAGAGGGTTTAGAGGGACTGATCCTGTCCTGCCATGGTGGGGCATCACACCAGGAGCTGAGGAGGGAGTCACCAGTGAAGCTGAGGTTACAGAAACCCCCACGCTGCTGCCCTGGGGGTGCATGAACCCCCCCAGCCCCGCACATTGAGATGTGCACCGCTGTTTGGCAGAGGCAAAAAAAATACATGGACCATTCCTGGGAGACAGTGGCCCAAAAACGCCCAGAGTGAGCTTGGAGGAGAAGTAACATGCCAGGAAAGGGAGAAGAGAGGAGGAGACCAGGCTGCAGCGCCTGTCTACAGCCACCGTCTTGCAGGGAGAGTCCCTTCTCCCCACGCTGGGGCTCAGCAGCGCCCTTCGGGCTGGGGGCCAAGGGAAGTGCAGCCTGCAGAGTGTCCCAAAACCTTCACAAAACGATGGGAGAGGAGAGGCCCTGGGCACCCTTGGGTCACCGGTGCTTTGCATGGTGCCAGCCAGCAGCACGCTGTTGGGCTGTTCTCTGGACAAAAGGTGGCTGGGTTGATGGCCAGCGTGGGTAGATGTTTTTATTTAAGTCTCTCTCTTTGTCCCGTTGAGATGAGCAAACAAACCCTCTGCTCATCCTCCTAAAGGTCATCGGAGGCGTTCCTGCTTTTGTTTTGGAAGCTGGATTGATGCCGGGGTGCAGATCACTCGAAGGAGGGACAGGGCGGGTGCCAGGGAAATGTAGGAAAATCAAAAATTGAAAGCAATTAGTAGCACACCTTCCTAACACTAAATAAACAGGGGGGCACCCAGTCAGCAGCCCCCCACCATGGCTGTACCTCCTCTGCCCAGTGCGAACTCCCCGCGCCGCCCCGTATCCCGCGCTGATGAAATGGAAAGTTGACCATAAATCAATGTCGGCGGCGTTAGCTATGCATCAGCGAGCGGCTCGGCGCCCAGATGCACCAAAACAAAGCGCCGGCTGCTCGGTGTTCCCACACTGCCCCCTAATGCAGAGAGACCTCGGGAGCTGGGGAGGACGGGGGGCTCCCGAGCCTGGGGGGCTCCCCCCGACATCCCCTGCTCTCCCCGCCTCTCCTCCCTGCACCCCCGAGTGTGGCTCTTTGGGTAAGGTCGCCCATGGTGGGTGAGGATGGTAAAGCCAAGGGTGATAGGATGGGGTCCATGTTGTCCTGCTGCCTCCTCAGATGCCACCATTTTCCCCCTTCTTGGCTCCGTGGGCACCTGGTTGTAGCAGAAGCTGCCACCAGCACGCTGTGAGTCAGCCCGCTCTGGCAGGGTGGCACAAGAGCCTCAAAACCAGGCTGTCCTTCCCAAAATCCTAGGGCAGAGCTCGGTGTCAGCCTGGCTCCAGGCAGGGTTTGAAAGAAGGTGGCATATGAACTGGAGGAAAGGAAAAGCAAGCATCAGAGAAAGTTTTTTTTCTGGAAGTTTTAGTAGGATGCCCGAGGCTTTTGTACCGAGCGTCTGGAGCATATGGTGGGATTTGCAGTCAACTTTCTCTCGGGTGCTCCAGCCAGATGGAGGTGACTGTTCTTGGCTCCAGCTGACACGGGTTTGTTTCCTGAAGAGCTTGTGTTAAACATATTCCTTAAAACCAGGCTTCTGCAGTTGGGAGCCCCAGCTGCAGGCGAGGCAGAGCTCCTGCCCACGGCTGCCTTCCACCATCTGCGGGGGAGCTTGGCCCACATTGCCTTGTCTTACCTTGTCTTGCCATGCTTTGCTTTGCCTTCCCTTCCCTTCCTTTCCCTTCCCCTCTCTTGGGAAGGTGCAGTTGGGTCCTCACCCAGCACCAGGTGCTGGAAGGTGGCCATGGTCCTCCTCTCCAAAAGCACCTGGAGCATCTCTCCTCAGGGCTCCTTCAGGGATCTCTTACTTTTTTGTTGACAACTTACGGTTGGACTCTGTGATCTTAAAGGTCTTTTCCAACCAAAATGATTCTACAATTCTAACTTGCAAAACTTCCCTCTCCTTTGATAGAAACAAAGCTCCTATCCAGTAAACCCAGGCACATCTTTAATTAGTCTCCATCTAATTAATTTTAGTATTTTCTCATGTCAAAACCAGGTATTTTAAAACACAAGATGCCTTCCTGTTGCTAACTGTAAATTGTCGGTGTCTCGGGGCAGCAATGCTTTGCCTTCTCTTACCATCCTGCATTGTTCTGCCCCCCCAACCCCCCCCTCGAGAAGGGCTCGAAAATGTTTTTAAATAGAAAAACTTCCCCATTAGCTGAAAGTATGTAGCCCATAAAACGTGATCCATTTGTGGTGAATTACGCTGGCAACATAAATTGACACACGCAGAGCTATGATCGCTCGTGCCATTTTCCATCTTTAATATTTTACAAGAAGTTTGAGGAGTCGAGCTGGTGAAAGACGGGGAGTGGAAATAACCTGAGCGCCTGGAAACTCCCCTTGGAAAGCAGCAGCAGCAGCAAACTGGGGTCATCAGATGGGCCAAGTTGGGCTTTTAAAGGCCGTGTAGTGTAGAGAGGGGGGAAAAAATGAAGCAGAGAGAAGGTGGGACATTGAGAGCTGTTTGAAACAGTTTTCTCATATGCCATTTTAGCTGTTTGGGGTTGTTTATGGGGTTTTTTTTGAGGCAGCTATAGGAAGATGAAGAATAACCCCCCATGCAAGGCATCCAGTTTGGGAAAAAAAAAAATTAAAAGGAAAAATTGAGAGATTATGGGTTTGGTTTTTTTTTCTGGTTGGGATAAAAGTGAATTAAGTGCAGGGCAGCTGCTGCTCACCCACCACATCATGTTGGATGGAGCTCTGCTAAGGGAACGCAGCGCTTGGGCGTTGGGAATCTGGAGGGAGGTGGTGTGGAGGAAGTGGGACCACGAGCGTGTTCAGCCTCCTTGTGTAACAGCACCACTTAATAACTGCTAAATACATGTTTTTTAAGAAAAAAAAAAAAGGCTTGTTCTGTTGGTTGGAACCCACATGTCATCTCTGTAAAACACTTGTCTCAACTGCCGTGATCCATCAGGATCATCTGCCGCTTCCTCTGCAGCGAGGGAAGCCCCTGCGCAAAAGCAACCGATGCGGCAGGCGTCCCTGGCCAAACGCAGGTCCCGGCCCTCAAACATCTGCAAATATTTACGGAGATAACAATATCCAGAGGGTCTGCCTTTGTGATGGAGCAGAGCAGCCGCAGGGAGGGGGCTGTGGTGGTTGCAGCCCAGAGCCAGCATTTTGGATGCTGCTTCTTGTTGCTGTTCTGAAAAAAATAAGAAAAGAGAGGTTTTTTTTAAAAAAAGAAAGAAAAAATCCCTTTTCAGCTCCTCCCCGCCTGCCAAGACGTTTGCATGAGCTAGGCAGCTGCAGTCACGTTATCCAGAAGTCTCTGGCGGGAGCGGGACCATGTGGGATAACGCGATCGTGAGGATGCAGCGGCGCCGAGGCCGGAGCGTCCCGGGGAGCAGCCATGGCACAGTGGGGCAGGACCACGCTCCGGAGGGTGCAGTCAGCAGCACAGACAACTGATGCTCTCCAGATCTGATTGCTGTGGGGGATTTTTCTCTGGTGGAAGTGCTGCTGTGGCTTACAGATGTTTGTTTCTTCAATAACCAAATGCAGCCCCAGAGCATCCCCCCCGGGCTCAGCCGGGGTGCGTGTCGGTGCCGATATCCCTTGTGCATTCAGTACCTGTTAACCCCACAGCCTTGCACGCTGGGGGCTACAAGAAGGAGGACATCAGAGCTTTAATCAGATGTTTAATAACTTCAGGATGGGGTCTGTGTGCCTGTCCTGTCAGTACCTGGGTAACAACAACCTCTTGCTTGCAACAAGGCAAGGCAGGCATTGTGGACAACCTGTTGAGTCTTGCATTGGTGGGACTTTAAGGTTGGATTCTGTGAGTCTTCGTTTTTCCCTTCCACCTGGTTTCATTGCTCGTTCACCTCTGCCCATCTTGCCTACCCCAGTCCTGCAGCCATAACACGTAGGAAGGGCTTTGGTGGTGGCCAGACCTTGTTGAGGGGTGCTGTCCTCCATGAAGCGGTAGTGGGACCTGTCTGCTGCCTGCTGGGGCACTTTGCATTTGCACCGACAGCATTAGCCACCTCAGAAGCAAAAGTAAGTCAAGTTTCATGCATGGAGATGACTTCTGCTGCAGGTGGTTAATGCTACCATTGGACCACAGAAGTTTGTCTTCTCCACTGGTGGCGGGACGTGGATGGAGAAGACCATTGCGTTGGCACCAAGAGGGTTGTCCTGAGGTGCTGTGACCTCTTCCAGCTGAGGTTCACCAGGCTGTAGGGGCAGGAGCTGGTTACCTTCAGCTCTTGGAGAATAAATGATGGTGTAAATGGTGGGACTTCATTTCCACAGCAGTGCCTGGAGCAGGAGGCTGGCAGGGGGCTGTTGGTTTAAATCTGCTTGGCTCCATCTCGCCGCCGAACCATTCAAATAAAAAAAAAAATTTAAAAAAAAAAAAAAAAAAAAAGAGGAAAAAAACCCCCACCCTCTTACTTTATTTACATTGCACTCAAGTTTCCGCTGTACAAAAGATTTGCAGGTGCAAATATGTCCTGCCTTCATTAACTTCCCCTCCCTTTTTAATTTATGTGATTTCAATTTTCCTTCCCTGTACTGTTAATTAGGGGACCCTCTAATCAGTACCATTATCACAGTGGTATTCATGTTTAGGAAAGCTGCTAAACAAATGCTTGCAAAATTGCTAAATGGCTAATTAATGTCTGTTAATTAAGAAAATTGCTCATGGTAACAAACCATGCCATTGCTGGCAGCAGCTAGAAGGCGAACACTTGTTGAAATTAGTAACGAGGCAGGTAGAGAACATCTGCTCCGGCGCTGGTCCTGGAGCCTGCCGTCGCTTCCCATCACCTCCTGACAAAGCTCGTTTGCTTTCTCTACCAATTACACCTCCTTTGACTCAAAATATGCCTTTTTTTGTTGGTTTTTTTTTGTTTGTTTGTTTTTTCTTTTCCTTATGTTCACACGCACTGGTATATTCTTGCACTGAGCTCGTGGTTTTTCCAAGCAAATTTTCATTTTCTGCTTTTAAGGAAAAATTTTTTTAAAAAAGAAAAAAAAAAAAAAAAAAGTGGGTGTTCAAACCCAAAATGTCAGCGGCTGCTGCATTGCAGCCTTAAACCTGCACCGACTAATCTCTCCTTTTTTCCCCTAGACATCCTTTCTTTGCTCGCAAGCCATTTTACTCGCATCCTTAGGGAATCCACCTCGAGGAAGGATGTTGCATCCGTACAGTCTGGTGATGCAGCCCTGGTTGTGTTGGCCAAACGCTGCCCAGGCGCAAGCTGGGACGTGCTCCTCGTCCTCTGCGCTCGCTCCAGCACCTCCACTGAACCACCGTCAAAAAAAACCCCAAAAACCCAGAAAACAGAATCCCACAGGTGTTTCCAACCTGTGGGATGAGAGAGGAAAAAAATCCTATTTTGTTATTTTTGGTTTGGGGGTATTTTTTTGTATTTCCCCCAACCTCTCTGGTCCTCTCCTGGATATTTTTTCTTCCTCGTTGCACACCCTTACAAAGTGTTTCCCTGTGTGTTTATGATTGCAAACTTGGTTGAACTACCGGACCGTTAACCGTCAATGTGGCTGCTGTATTTTGACAGATGTTCTGATTTTTAATTTTTTTTTTTTTTTTGCATATATCATTATTCATGTTCAATTGCAAATGAATAGAAACTCAATTAAAAAGAGGAAAAAAAAGCAAAAATAAAAAACCAATTTAAAAAAGGGGAGAACTGACTTCCCGACCAAACAGGTCCACCCGTCAATCCTTTTTTTAGCTCTTTCTGCGCTTTCATGTGCTAATCTATAACCTCCTTCTACTGTCTGACCTCACAGGGACCGCCTGGGTCACAGCCCTCGCCACACGCACAGCCTCCACCCCACAATCCTAACAGCATGATGGGACCCCACAGTCAGGTAAAGACACTAGCGATGGGTAGGGCTGTGAACCGGGACGTGCGCTCGATTTGCCTTTTTTCCCCCCTCTATAAGCATGCTGGGCAGCGGGTACCCGCTCTCCCGGGGAGCATCCCCCCGGGCATCCCAGCTCCAAAGCAAAATGTTGGTTTTTTTCCCATTTTTTTTCCTTTTTTTTTTTTTTTTCTTTTTTGGATGTGCAGTTGTCAATGGACTGAGAAGTCAATCATGGGTATCAGACTGTTTTACCTTCCCAAGGTAGCCTGAGAAATTTAACTTGATGTGGGTTTTTAAGCTTCTTTTAGTAGCAGCACTTGTAAAAAAAAAAGTAACTTTAAGTCTTTCTTCTTTTTTTTTTTTTTCAGTACTTAGTATTGGGGATTTTTTTGTGTGTGCGTGTCTGTATGTGCTTATTTGCCACTTTTTAAAATATATCTCTATAGATTTAAACTTGAACAGTATCTAACACTCAGGGTTTCCCATGCACTAATTTTAACAGCCTCACCTAGTATTGCCGATGTCAAACGCTCTCAAACAATAAATCGACAGAGAAAATGTTAAAAACGGACTCCGGACATCTTTTTTTTTTTTTAATAATTATTATTATTTTTTTTTTTTCCTTTTGAAAATTAACTTTTTTAAAAAGGATGTCTCCAGAAAAAAACAAAACCAAAACAAAACCCGTATGTACAGTCTAACCGGCGTGCGTGGGGAGCGTGCTGCCTCCCCGCAGCTCGATGCTGACCTCCCTTTTGTGTCCCCACAGCCGTTCATGTCGCCGCGCTACGCCGGAGGTCCCCGGCCCCCCATCAGGATGGGCAACCAGGTACTGCGCTCCCGGGCTCTGTGCCGGTGGTTTTCCCGGGGGTGGCTTTTATTTGGGGAGGGGGAACAAGAGCCAGGTGTCATGCCTTGGGTTTGGATGGCAGGCATCGCCTCCCTTGGGCATCCTCCATTTTCTTGGTGCTGGAGCATCAGGTATCACATAACCATTTAATTTGAATTTTATTTTGAGGTTCAGGCATATCCAGGGAGTAAACAGCGGTGGGGCCTGCGTGGTTTTTTATCTATGGTGTTTTCAGCAGGGCCGTGCCATGCCGCGTGCTCGCTGCCCAGCTGGATTTTCCCTGCAATCGCAGAAAATTAAAGTGATGGAGATAATCCCGCTGCTGGGTTGGCCGAGCGCTTAGATCAGCAGCGGGGTCAAGCGGGGCAGGTCACTGCTGAATTTTTTGGGTTGGGTTTATCCTCTTATCCCAGCTTAAACAAGGGCAGTTTGTTTCTGGCCTTACGGACACAGGCTTCCACCCCACGCGCTGCCTGAACGCGTGGCCTTTCGTTAAGGAATTCGTCTCCTTCCCAACGACGCCGTGCAGATCTGTGGGGTAATGACCGAACCAGAGGTCACTTGTCATTAAAAGGAAATGAAAGGAAACCTGTAATTCCTTTGAGAAGCAAAGGTGGCTGTGCAAAAATTGTCTTGGGAGCTTGTTTTTGGCTAACAACATCATTTTTATATGGCTCTTATTAGCAGAAAGAGCAGAATAGTCAGGAAATCGGATGTAGCAGCTTGGTTTGTGTTTGTGATGGCTGGGTTGGAGGCTTGAATCGCTGGAACTTGCAAAATGATGGTGAGACAGCTGAGATGTAGCTGAGAAAAACTCAAGGCGGGGCTGATGTAGGACCCCCAAGCCTGGCTGGGCTGGAAGAGCCTCCCACCCAGGGCACCACAACACCCAAATGGGTGCTGGCGGCTGTTTTAGGGAGATTTTAATTAACAGCAGCATCTCACAGGGCAGTTTTAAGAGGACCCTGTCCTGTTGTGGCCCCAGGCTGGAGGTGAGCACAGCAAGATGGGGCAGGCAGGGGAACAGTCTGGGGAAGCTGCTCTTGAAGCAGGGTCTAGCATCCAGGCATGGGTAAAGTTAATTAGAATGATTTGATTTTTTTCCCTCAGACACCACGGATAAAACACAGGTTTGTACCTACCCGAAGCTCAGCGAGCTTACGGTCACATCCAGAGGGACAAGAGAAATAAATAGGCAGACAGTAAGGTCAGGCAGCAGAAGTGTAAATATCCATCCCTACAACCCCTCTGGTTTATCTTCCTCCTGCTGCCAGCTTCCAAGCTGCAAAAAAAAAAAATAAAAAAATAAAAAAGAGGGATTGAGCAGATTCTGCCTCCGCTTGGCCACGCACAGCCCGTGCCTGCGCTGTGCTCCAGCGGTGGGATCTCTCTCTGTCGCTACTCAAATAAAAGGCAGCGCTGTAGCAAAACTGTTTACACTTTGCTTCCCCCAGGCAGATGATATCTGCGTTTTTCTTCCCCTTTATCTGTTCGGAGCAGCCTTTGAACTTTAAATAGCCATGTTGCTTGAGCAGAGCTGGGTTTGAGGAGGGGGAGCATCTGGCTTCCCCCACTGCCTGCATGGGGAACACTGGGCTGCTGCAAATGGAGCATCTCCCCACCAGCAGCGGATGAATCGCCGCAACCCGTACGGTTTGGCCCTGGTGCTGTGTAAATACCGGGGAGCCGCGCTGCCCGTCTCCCTTCGCTGCTGGCTTTGACACCTCTGCCCCGTGCAGCCCAGGCTTTTCCCTGCTCCCCTAAAATACAGCAGCCTGATGGTGTGCGAGCCAAGGGGAGAGGAGGAAATACTGGCACCTTGTTTGGTTTTTCAGAGGGCGAAAGAAAAGGGGAGGCAAACGCCTGGAGGCCGTAGGAAGATGTCCAGGACATGGGATGCAGTGGGATGCTTAGGCAGCATGCTGGATGGTGCATCTCGGGGAGCGCACCAAGGAGCCCCCCAAAAGCCTAAAGCCTCAACCCAAATCTGTCTCTGTAGGCTGCATTTTAGCAATTACTATTTTTTAAAAATCTTCCTTCCCTTGTTTTCACAGCCCCCGGGTGCCGTTCCCGGTACACAGCCATTGCTGCCCAATTCAATGGATCCCACGCGACAGCAAGGTAAACCCAGCGGAGGAGGGTTGAACATTAACAGTTCTCATTAACTGTTAATTTGGGACCCAAAGTGACTGCTGTGTCATGTAACACCCCGGCTTTCCTCCCAACAGGGCACCCTAACATGGGCGGCCCCATGCAAAGGATGAATCCTCCGCGAGGGATGGGCCCCATGGGTCCCGGTCCGCAGGTAAGCCCAGCACCAAAGAGCATCTTACCAAAGAGCAAACGCCGCACACCATCGAAACAACCTCCTGGGGCTCCACGGGCTGGGAGTTTCCCTCCCACACCCTGTCCCCCCATTAGTGTTAATGCGTTTTACATTAGTCTTGCATCTGGAAATCCCTCCTTTTAACATGAGTGAAGTCTTCAGAGCTCATTAAGGGTATTGCAACCTCCCTCCTGCCCTTCCGTCAGAGGGGATGGCACTTAGCGCCACGCCGGAGCGGCCTTTGAGTGCATTACGCTGCCTGCTTGGGAAATAGTTACGACCCTAACAGCAGGAAAGGGAAAGGAGGCTTTGCATTAAAAATAAATAAATAAATAAAAAGAAATGGCAAAGATCCCTTTAGCAGGGGAATTAGGCTTTCCTCTGTGAGGTTCCCCTCCGCCTGCCCTTCCTGCTGCCTGCCTGAGCTCTCCATTTCAGGAAAGGGGAGTAAACTCTGGCAATTAAGCAGATCTGGGTTAATATATGCTGTCTTTCCGTTGATTCACTTTGCGGAGTGGCTTGTTGTTGACTCACTCCTGTTTGTTCCTTCTACGAGACTTCAAAACCAGATTACAGTGTTTTGGTTGGAGGTTTATCCTCTCTGCATCGTCGCCTACGTCGAGTTTGTAGCGTGAGGATCAGAGTCTGTCAAGAGACGAGCGAGTGTGCTGGAGTTTTGTTTTGTTTTTCCCCCGGAGACTGTTGAGATAAGTGATATTGTGTAAAGGGGGAGTTGTGTCATCTCATTTTAACACCAGCCTGAGGATGCTGCTCGGGGACGCCTGGTTGTCTCCGCAGGCACCTGGATCCATCTTGGGACGGGATTAAAGTCCTACACGAGCATCGTTTCACAGACAAGCCCTCCAATAGCTAAGCCAGGGATGCTTTGAGTGCTGCTGCTTTGCTTAAAATCCTCCTTTCCTGGAGGATTGCACCCAAAAAAAATGGCATTTGTTAGCGTGGCCTGTGCCAAGGAGAGCGGCGGCGGTTTGCCCGGGGGAGGCTGCTCCCTTCCCACTTGCAAAGCTCACTGTGAAACTTGGAAGCCGTGAGCGCGTGTTGAGCTCCGCGTGGGATGGCGGCGGCTCTGGGAGCCGGCAGGAGTTGTGAAATGTTCAGAGCTTTATTTTTGACTCCGCCATTCCCTGTGTACATACGTTAGGGAGGGATTTTTTAAAAGGCAGCAATCTCCTGGGGAAGTGCTGGGCTTCCCAATCTGGCACCATCCAGGAACCAGCGTCTGCACAGGCAGCCACCAAAAATACCAAACCCAACCTGGCAGCCCCTCACACCTTGCATGCCCAGGGCTTTTTTTTCTTTTTCTTTTAAGTTTTACATCAAGACCTTCCCAAATACTCCTTAAATTATTCCAAAGGGCTGCAGAGCATCCAGCCAGGACATCCCAGCGTCCTGACAGCAGCTCCTTACTGCACACCAGTGATGAATCATCCCTTAGGGCCGATCACCACTGCCCTTTTCCCTTTGATAGTTGCAGTTTTAGCTCTGCAGAAGCCAGGATGAGATTTGCCGGTGCCTCTATGAAGAGGGTTTGTAGCTCGCTGGGTTTTGGTGGTGTCTTGCCAGAGCCCAGCATCCAGGTCGCTCAGCACAGCTGTGTTCCCTCCCCACCCTCCGTGAGCATTTTCAGATGGCTTCGTTTTCCAGCCTTTCAGCTCCAATTAAAAACGTGGAGCTTTTTTTATTTTTTTAAAAAAACAAGGGGTTTGATGCTGCTATTCAGTGTAGATGGCTGGAATTTCAATCAATTAAGGACTTGCTGGTAATTTGTTTGGGGAAAACCCTTTTCTGCCTCTTCAAAACAAACTTTGAGGATGCCCTGGGTAGAGCACCGTGCTCTGGTGCATCCATAAATCCAGGGGAAAATCAACAGCACTGAAGTACTGCACTTAAAATCCAGCTTGGAGTGCACCGACGGGCTGTGAAATAGGAAGCAGCCAGCCACCCCCCCTCCTGCCCTAGCAATTTTTTCTCTAAATGGCAGAAATACAGCCCAAGAAGATGCGTCACAGGGGGAAGGTGGGAGGGGAAGAGTGGCAGCGCGACCTAAATCCGGCTGCACATCGCCCGGAGGGCAGAGGGAGCGAAGCGCAGACCAAATGGAGCGCAGCATTCAGGGGATTCCTCTTCCTGCTCTGCCTTGGGCTTGGCTTTGTACTAGAGCTGGTTTTAGGAGATGAGGGAGGCAGATCTGAGGTTCCTGGTCCCAGCTGGAGGCTAAGCCAGGGTGGAATAAGCCAGGAGAGGAACCCCGAGGGGCTGCCTGCTCTCCCCTGCTCCCCGCAGCTGCGGACCTGCTGCGGGGGATGTAGCAGAGAGCTGGGAGGCAAGGGGAAAACAAGCCTGGCTTGGCTTTCGCTTCTCCAGCCGTCATCCTGGGAGCAGGGGATGCTCCATCTCGGGGGAAGCTCGTGCAGCCTTTTCCCATCCTTGTGCTGCAGGAATAACCTTCCATGCAGCGACTGCTTTTCTCCTCCTGCCCCTGCTCTCTCCTGCACAAAAAGACAAACCCAAAGGGCTCTTGTTGACACCCAGGGACTGTGAGCGGATTTGTCTCCTGGAGCTGGGAGGAGGCTGTTTTCCCTCCACCAGCGTGGTGGTGTCAAAGACCAGAGGGGGACTTTGGGGCTCAGCCTGGCTCCCTTCCATATTGAGTTGCCTGGGTTTTTTATAAACACAGTAGCTAATTGCTTCTATGTTCATCATCATCTAATATTTTTTTTAAAAGCTCATTTTTGCAAACTAACCTTCGTATTTGTTGGTGTTTGTTGGGTTTCCCCCCCTTTTTTTTATCTCCGATTTCCCTTCCCATTACTGTAGACTGACCCTTGGTTATCATTGCAGAACTACGGCAGCGGCATGAGACCTCCACCCAACTCCCTAGGTCCCGGCATGCCTGGAATTAACATGTAAGGCAAACCTCACACCAGGAATATTTGCCCACTGACTCGGGCTTTGCAGATAAAAACACAACATTTTATTTTTTCCCTCTTTAATTCTGACCCCAGGGGGCCGGGAGCTGGCAGACCGTGGCCGAACCCCAGCAGTGCTAACTCAG